GGTATAAAGGCAAGGTTGTGTCCAGTTTTTTGATTCCTTCTCAATCTAACTTCGGGTTTGATTGGGAGATCTGGGTTTAGAAGAGGCCTAAGGGATTCGGAAATTGAAAATGTCATGAGTTTGGTTCAGATATTAAAAGGGGTGGTGTTAGATCCCTCTGAGAAGGATAAGAGACTATGGACCCTAGATCCCTCTAGGACCTTCTCTTGTGCTCCCTTCTTCAAGTGCCTATTGCCTTTAACCAGTATTTTTGTGCAAAATTCTCCAGTAAAGGAAGTTTGGGTTGAGCCGATTCCTCCAAGGATTGGAGCCTTTTTGTTGGGAAGCTGTCCTAGAAAGGTGTAATATATGTGACATACTCCAAAGAAAAAGGCTTTTTTGGTGCTTGTCTCCAAATTGGTGCATTCTTTGCAAGGCTAACGGTGAAAACTCTTACCACTTATTAATCTCTTGCCCCTTTGCTGATGTTATTTGGGACTGGTTTTTTTTCTTATTTGGTTGTAGGTGGACCCCATTGTCAAATATTGAAAGCTTGTTTAGCTTTTCATTCCTTCGATAGCCAAAGAAAAGGGGAAGGATTATGTGGAGGTGTGTGAGGGCTGCTATTTACTCGACTCTGTGGGAGGAAAGGAACTCTAGAACTTTTTTCTGAAAACAAAAGAAGTAAAGAAAGCATTATTGAAGTAATAACAGTCCGGGTGGTGCACTGGTTGAAATCCTTGGACCTGTTTAATGATGCTTCTACGGGTATGTCGCTGAATAGCTGGATGGAAGTGGCCAATTCTGCTCTTGCTTGCTCCATTGTTTGTCCTATATGTCACCACCAGACTGTGGTGTTATAAAGTTAAATTTTGATGGTAGTAGTGGGGGCAATCCAAGTCCTTCAGTTGTAGGAGTTGTCTTTAGAGATGAGGATGGGCAAGTGCTCGCAATGTTTTCAGGTCCCATTGGGTTTGGGAACTCTCTTAAAGCTGAGGTTTATGCTGTACCGGAGGGTATAAGAAATGCTAAGGAACTAAACATACAAAAGTTAGTTGTTGAAGGGGACTCAAAGCTGGTGGTAAGTTGGTTACAGAAGGAAAGCGGACTTTGGAAATTTGCTAATGAGATGAGGGAAATTAAATGGCTAACTAGGGGGCTGGAAATCCAATTCAGTGGGTGAAGAGAACAGCAATTGCCTTTGCAGTTGCATTAGCAAAGCAGGGGGTGGGAAGGGACCAAATGTTTTGGGCTGTGTTGCAAGTTCTTTGTTGTCCTCTTGGAGAGAGCTAAGCCTTTTTATCTCTCTCTGGAGTGCTGTAACTAATTTTCTATTAATTTAATGAATTCATGTTATTGATCAAAAAAAAAAAAAAATTACACACACTATAGTATTTTCTAACATGACCTAATTTATAAATGAGAAAGAATATCTTGTATTGAGATCGAAGAATTAAATTAATATGAGAAAGGGGGGGGGGGGTTCTGTTGGAGTATAGGTGAGCAAGCGCTATACAAATATATAGGTGTGCTTTGGTTAGTTAAACTTAGATTAGGGCACCAAAAATTAGTGAATATTTTTCATCATACACGATTTCTTTATTGGAACTAAAATGAGTTGTAAGTAATTGAGTGTGGATACAAATTATTTGACAAATTTATTCATTGTTTTATTATATTGATATTTTATTTTATTTATTAATAAAAATCATTACTATTATTTTTAATTTGTAAATTAGTAGGTCCTACCATCACATGTCATGGGTGAACATGTGAATGGAGGTACCATTCTCACATGTGGTACATTGAGAAATATAGTGGAGATGCTATTCTAACATGTAGATTTAATTTAGTAAGAGAAAATCAAAGAGATATTATGAGTGTTTTTTGAGTTTATATGGTTTTACCTTATTCACAACCAACCAAATAATCAATGCTTCTTAAATTTTGAGGAGTATTACGACTAATATATTTAATTTTTCATTTTTGTTCAGTTTAATGCTGTTTTTATAAGCCGTATGCCTAATCAATTTGAGACGTGAGACGATGGGGCATATGCCTCACAAAAATCTGATCTGGTAGCCTCTAAGCCTACTGATAAGGCATATGAGGCAAGGCGTTTTGGCTTCTTGCTTCATAGCCTTTTAAAACCACTGTAGATTGTTATGCTACCTTGCAAATCATTAGGGGTATTCTTTCTTCCTAAGTTTTCATTGTTTCTGTTGTTACGAATGGCTCTTTAATAAATTGTATAAATTAATCATGTGCTATTGTCTCTTCCAGGTCAAATAAAATGATTGCTAATACAAACTTCCTATGAAACAGGCTTATTTCCCTACAATTTCTCAACCCGAAGGATTGCCTCTTCAAGTCCAGGATGCAAGAGGCAAGGAATGGGTGTTCCAATTCCGTTTTTGGCCTAATAATAACAGCAGAATGTATGTCTTAGAGGGGGTTACACCTTGTATTCAGTCGATGCAATTGCAGGCAGGTGATACAGGTATTTATTAACTTCAATGGAATTCAATTCTTGGGGAATTTTTCTTTTAATATTTGGTTGGTTTATAAGGCTGCATTTGGTAAGAGTGCAAATGCAAATATGTTCGGTTCTTGAAAATGCAAACTCGGTTTGGTTTTGCATTGATAAATTTTGTATTCTTACCAAATGTAATTGGTTGTGATGGGTACAAACACAAATTTCAACACTGAAATCTACCTTTTTACATTAACCAACTTTTGAGTGCAAAGGGAACATTTGCTCCCATTTTGAATGCAAAAATGTTAGAAAAAACAAATTTAGTTTCATTCATTACAACAATGTATTCTTACCAAAAGCCTGCAAAACTGAATTGGAATACAAATTTGCTTCGGTTTAGCATTTGCATTCTTACTAAACACAACCTAAGTTACATATTTCATTACTTGTAGATTAATAATCCCCTACCATGCTTCTCTCCATTTGTTGGTAATAGCGAATGATATCTTCTATAAATAGCACTTTCTTCCATATCATTTGGTGCCAGTTGGGACACCTTGTGTTTACTATTCTACCTACCATGTTTTGGTCTTTTGTTGTTTTGCATACATTGTTTGCACGCAGCTATGATTCAAATGTTCTCCCTCTAAGCTTTATACTTGACATTCCATTTCCCTGTTAAACCAATAACATAATAATGATCTTCTGATTTGAACTAAGCTATGTTGCGGCATAGATATGAGCACAGGAATTATAAACTGACACATGCTCAGGAATTTTGACTCCATAAATTAAAAGGATTATTGCTTTGGGGAAACACAAAATTATAACAACAACAACAACAACAGCAACAGAAACAAAAAAAATGTTATACATACCTGGGTTTATACATATTCATGTAATGAGGATGTATGCCTGTGGCACAGTTCTTTAAATATTGCTATTCCTATACAAATAAACAACACAAGAAATTGTAATTTCTTTTCATAAGGGCCAATGAAGTCTGCTTTTCTTGATATTTTCTGATCCATATAACAGAATTATGAATATATGTATATTCTTATTATGTTTATCATATTAAGGAGAGAAGCAGAGAAGCTGTCATTGAAACTATCAAGAGTAGAGTGGTTAATTAGCTGAGGTCCTCGGAAATCTTTTTTGACACTTCAACTGATGAGTGATGATATCCTTAGAAACAGGAAGGAAGTGGCTGTTTCTACTACCAATAAGGTTGTCACTATTCTTATTTGGTCTCCACTGGACAGTGGGTTCATTAAGCTCAACTTTGATGGAAACAGCCTGGGAAATCTGGGCATTTCGGGTATAGGAGACATTTTAGAAATGAAGAATAACTGCTTTATATTCAAGCCCAATTGGTGTAGAAGACTATTTTAGGGCTGAGATTATGGCATTGATAGGAATGAAGGGCAAAGAACATGAACATTAGAAAATTGATTATTGAAGGAGATTCCAGATTGGTTGTGGGTTGGCTGCGAAGGAAGGAGGCCAGACTTTGAAGCTACAACAATGAAAAAAATAAATTCAAATGACTGGCACAAGAAAGAGATGGAAGTGAGATTGCAATGGGTCCATTAGCTGATGCTTCAGCTAAACAAGTGGAGGGAAGAGATCAATTATTTTGGGCATGCTGTAAAAATAAGGGCTCTTTTCCTTTGGGTAGAGATAAGAGGCTTTATCTCTCTTTGTTTGTATTTCCTTAATTGCACTCACTTTTTACTTACCATCTATTAATGAAATCTTACAGTTATTGACAAAAAAAAATCATATTAAGTAGATAATCACTTTGTGTATATGTTATTTTCTGCCTTACACAACAAAAGCTTAGAGTTATTGAAATCTGAGAGTTCTCATATGTTTCTCCTTATTTTGTTTAGTGTTTCATAATTTCATAAGCAAATGTTTATACGGTGCTTTAAGGCCAAAAATCTAAGCATGTGATGGATTTATTTGATTTTGAAATATCAAGTCAACAATGGTTGGAATATGTGGTTGGGACATGGTAAATATCCCATCCACAAATGGTAATGAAATTGAAAATATCAACGAAGAAGACAGAGAGAGAGAGAGAGAGAGAGACAAAGGAAAAAGGTTTTAAAAAATCAGAAGCTATAATGGATTTGGGTGATCACTAGGTTTGAGAAGGGCAATAGGAGTTCTAAAGCCCAGCAAAAAGTAAGAAGTGGTGGAGAGGTTGGTAGACCAAGTGCTCATTGGGAAGGAATAGAGCTTCAAGGTAAGGAAGGAGAGAAGCAGGCACCCAATGTTTAGTCGTAATTTGAAGTTGTAGTAGGTTGTGAGATTGGCATTGTCGCAGGTCCATTTTCCTCGGGGGTGGGTGATTTGCTTGTTTCAGTAGGGTCTCAGTTGGAGTAAGAAGACGTTGGATCGTGGATGAAGAAAAGGAGAATGATCATGAGAAGGGATCTGTTGCTGACCTGCCCGAAGAAAGGGATGTTCACTTGATCTTTATATAGGTTTTGCTTCGGAGAAGAAGCATGGGGTTCAAATGGAGCGGAGAAACAGGGTTGGGGAAGGAGAGAGGCGGAGGTGGAAGAGAAAATTTTTGGTTGAGCTTGAAGGGTGCAGTGAATAGAAGGTCTATAATAGGAAAAGGAGGTTTTCGGGTCTTTTCAATGGTGAAGATGGGGGGAAGGGGGTGGATTTAGAGATTGGAGTGGCGATTGGAGGTGGAGAGAAGGGGCATGAAGAGACAGAGGTGGGGGTAGAGAAGAGGCGAAGTTCAAGAGAAGAATGAAGTAATTCAAAATGGAGAAGTGGAGATTAGTAAACAAGTGGAAAGAGAGGTGACAGTGGGAAGAGGTTACTTTTTGGATGTGTGTACCTTGTGGAGGTTCTGTAAAGGGGTTGTGTGACTCCTTTCTCTCCAGGTATGTGCAGTCTCCTATTGCCACCAGTAGTGTGTGACCTGATGGTGATTACAGGTTGATATGTGGGCAGTTTTGGGACTGTTGGTGAAGTTTAGCAGATTTCCTAATGTCTTGGAAGTTTAGTTGACCTAATTTAGTGCCCCTACCTGTTACTGTGAGTGGTAGAAGTGAGTTGCAGACAGTTTTTTTTGCTTTAGTTTCCTGATTTGGTGTGTGTAAAACCTGTCTAAATGGCAACAGATGATTTTTCCATTTCTGGGGTTACATCAACCCAAGGGACAGCTAGTATAGGGGCTGACAGTATGCTCTTTCCTATGTTAATTGTACCTTTAAATGGCCTGAACTATTTGGAGTGGTCTAAGGGTGTGAAACTCTATGTTACTGCAAGAGGAAAGGCTGGATACATAATCGGAAGATAAAAAAACCAAAAATGGAACTGCTAAATATGATAGGTGGGATTAAAAAAATAGTATGATGATGTCCTGGATTCTTGCAGGCATGGAACCTGATGTAAGGAAGAACTTTATATGGGCAAAAACTACGAGTGAAATTTGGGAACAAGCTAGAACAACATATTTTAAGCAAAGACATTACACAAAGATTTACCAGTTAAATCTACAACTTGTAAGCAAGGGGATTGTAGTCTGTCAGCGCACACTATTCAGCCCTTCAATTTGGTAGGAGTTAGATTATTACCAAAGTATAGAGTGGAAACATGATGGTGATGCCGAGGCTTATAAGAAGTTAAATCTCTCAACAGTGGGTTTTTGTTGTTTTGCTGGGACTAAATCCTCTGTATGAGCCCCTTAGAGTTCAGATCTTAGGAAGCAGTGGGTTGCCTTCAATTCAAGAAGTGTATGCCTTGATTCAGTGCGAGGAAAGTAGATGATGTGTGATGGTTCCAATTGAGGGGAAGCAGCATATGGCTTTGGTTGCAAAAGGCAGCAACAATGTGGTAAAGAAGAGTGATGATAAGGGCAAGTTGTGGTGTACCCATTGCAAACGCTCTAGACATACACGTGAGACTTGTTGGGATCTTGATGGAAAGCTGAAGTGGGCAGAAAAAAAACCAAGAACAGGGAAAGATGCAGGGCTAGAAGAATTATAGTACAGCTAATGTGGCAACTCAAGATTCCCAGCATGGTGGTGTGTTCAGTAGTACTACTTAGAAGAATTACACTTGTTCTGAGAAGAATTACACTTGTTCTGACCGAGGATATCATCAATTCCATTCGTGATCATCTGGAGTCTTATGGTAAAGCTCTACGTCAGATGGGCAGCACAACTACTAGTACCCCTCTACTTCATTTGCATTACATCAGGTAATGGTGCCTTTGCCTTCCATGTCTCCGCTGCCACTGACTCTCCCTAGGTCATTGACTTGGGGGCCTCCAACCACATGACTAGTAAGCCCAATCTTTTCTAGTCTTATAGCCTTTTGTTTAGGAGAGATAAAGAGAGGCTTGTAGATGGATCATTCTTCTCCATTGCAGGTTAGGGATCAATATCTCTTCCCCATAGCCTCAATCTTAGTAATGTATTGTATGTGCCCAAGCTTCCTATCAATTTACTTTCTATTAGTAGTATCACAAACTCCTTAAATTGTAGTATAACATTTTTTTCTGGTTCATGTGTTTTTCAGGACCTAACTTCTGGGAGGACGATTGGTAGAGGAAGCTTAGTAGATGGCCTTTACACTCTTGACAACAAGGTTGGTTTCTCAGTGTCAACTTTGGAGTCACATAGTTAGTTGAGTCAACCAAATAAGAGTTAAGTATTGTTATGGCATAATCATTTGGGTCATGCGTTCTTTGAAATATTGAAGTCTTTGTTTCCCTTTTTATTTAAGTCATGTTCAATGTCAAACGTGTCAGTTAAGCAAGCAATGTAGAATAGTTTTTCATTTAAGTAATCAAAGATCAAATTTTCCTTTTCACATTGTGTACTCAATCCCCTTTGTTTTCCATTCCTATGAGTGTTTGGTTGACGTACCTTTGTTCATGACTTGTTTCCTTCCCATCGTAAGTTGGATCATCAGTCTATCCCATGTATCTTTCTTGGGTACCCCTCTTCACAAAAGGGTTACCGGTGCTTTGATCCCATTGGTCGTAAGTACCTTGTCTCTATGGACGTTTCCTTTTTTGAGTCTAAATCATTCTACCCTACTTCTCAGGGAGACAATAGTATTGAGGAGGAGAAGCAAGTCCATCGAGTTTGTCTTCCTTCTATTGATTCTGGATAGTGCTCCTTTTTGTGTCTTCCTGTGTAAGCGCAATAGAGATCAACAATGTTCTCAAGATGTGGAGCTATCGGATACTAAGTGACCGACACCATCATACTTCCAAGAGATAAGTCCAATTGAGCTAGGTACTCTTTCCTGTTGATTCCTCCATTCCTATTTCTATTGTGGATGATCTTGACATTTCCATTGCCCAAAGAGAAGGGGTCAAGTAATGCACTACCAAACACCCCATTACCCATTATGTGTCCTATGACCATATTTCTCCTTCTAGTCGTGCCTTTTTGTCTATTGTTGATAGATTCTCATACCCAAAAGTGTGGCAGAGGCTTTTACTTACCCCGAATGGACAGATGCTATGAAGGAGGAAATTAATGCTCTATATAAGAATCATACTTGGGAGTTGGCGGATCTTCCAAAAGGGAAAGACCTAGTGGGGTGTAGATGGGTGTTCACAGCGAAACATAAGGCAAATGAGATAGTAGAAAGGTACAAAGCAAGGCTGAAAGCAAAGGGGTACACTCAAGTATATGGTGTTGATTATGATGAAACCTTTTCTCCAATTGCAAAAATGAATTCACTGGGAGTTACACCAACTTGATGTAAAAAAATGCTTTCTTAAATAAGGTGTATATCGTTCTATGCAAAAGTGAAAATAAGGTGTTCAAGTTGAGAAAATCTTTGTATGGCTTAAAACAATCTCGTAGAGCATGGTTTAGTAAGTTTCATATGGCAGTTCAATAAGTAGGATTAAAACAATGCTAGTCTGATCATACTCTCTTTGTTAAGAGATGTTAGGAGCAGGTTGTGGTGTCGATAGTGTATGTGTATGATATCATCATAATAAGGAACTGGGGCTTTGAGATACAAAAGTTGAAGCAATTCTTAGCCTCCCAATTTGAAGTGAAAGATCTAAGACCCCTAAAGTATTTTCTTGGGATTGAGGTTGCTCGCTCCTAAAAGGGTATCTTCACCTCTTAGAGGAAATACATCCTGGATCTTTTACAAGACACATGCAAACTTGGTGCAGAGCCAATTGATACTCCTATGGTTGTTGATCATAAATTGGGTGATTGCGATGATAAACCTTTGAAGGATGTGAAGCAGTTCCAAAGATTAGTGGGAAGATTGTTATATCTGTCTATGACACACCGTAACATTGGTTATGCTGTTGGGGTTTTGAGCCAGTTCACCTAAGGTTCCATACTTGGAGGCTGCCGAAGGGATCCTTAGCTATTTAAAGAAATATCCAGGAACTGATTTACTATTCAGAAAACACAATCATTTGAAGGTGGAAGCTTATGCAGATTTTAATAGGACAGGTGTTGTGGATGACATAAAATCCATAAGTGGGTATTGTATTTTGTGGTTGGAAACTTGGTGACATGGAGAAGTAAAAAAATGAAGTGTGGTTGCAAGGTCAAGTGTTGAAGCTGAGTATAGAGCTATGGAACATGGGGTGGCTGAGGTGCTTTGGTTGAAGAATCTGCTAGGAGAGCTTGGGTTCAGTGTCTCTCTTTTGTGATAACAAAGCAGGCATAAACATTGCAACAAATCCTGTTCTCCACGATAGGATAAAGCACATTAAGGTAGATAAGCATTTCATAAGAGAGAATTTTGATAAGGTTGAAATCTGCACTCCCTATGTTAACTCCAAGGAGTAGCTGGCTGATGTTTTCACAAAAGGTCTTTTCTTTTGTGGCACAATGAACTTTGTGACAAGTTGGGCATGATTGACATATACAGCCCAACTTGAGGGGGAGTGTTGTCAGCCTGTTATCAGAGTAATAGTGCTGTCAGCATATTCTTTTCTTTTGTCTTTTATGTTCTTTCAATATAGTGGGCCGCCAGGGGCAGAACTGTAACTATAACCGTTTTATCTAAGTTTTGGCACTCAAAAACATTCTTTCTTCTTTCCTCGCTTCCCTCTCTCTTCTCTTCTTCTTCTTCCCTGCACTGTATGATCATGTTATGAATGAAAACAAAAGGAAAGAATTGAGAAGGGCAAGGGTTGGGACGAAGAAGGGGGCGAAGAAGAGTGAAGGGTTGAAGTTCTAAATTCTTCAAGGCAGTCAGAAGGAAGGAGGGAAGATTGGAGTTGCAGGAGCCAAATTAGAAGAATGTTGATGTGGTAGGAAGGAAGAGATTTGGGTGCGAATAGTGGAGATTGGTTGGAGTTAATTGCTGAAAGGTTATCAGGGGGTTTAGTCACATTAAGATTCTCAGATTGTAGTTAGATAATGAACAATTTTTATTGTCTAGTTCTCAGTTGATTAGTTGGTGGGGTGTCACCTTGATACCTCTCAGATTTTAATGTTTCTTTTTTGTTTAATGAAATCTTTTTCTTTACTATTAAAAAAAGAAAGAAAGAAAGAAGCTTTGTATAACATTGGTTAAATACAAATCTTGAAAGGCATGAATAAATTGTCATCTCCATGTTGTGCAATACTCCTAGATTTGCCATTTTGGAGAGCAAAGTCCATGGACAAATTTGTACATTTATCTGTGTGCTATAACTACAACAACAGGAGTCAAGGCTGGAATTTGGAGAAACTGATATTAGTTGACTCAGTGTGACATATTGACTCTTGAATCCAAGAAAAAAGTAAGGTGTCCCTGTAATACGGGCTTGAAAATACTATCTGGAACTTTATATTTATATTCATCTGTTACAGGTTTTCCTTCTCCATTTTGAGCTTTCTTCCTATCAGTATTAATAAGCTTTCTCAAATTGGAACTGAGAGTTACTTTGTCTCTCAGTAACATTCAGCCGGATTGATCCGGAAGGAAAGCTGGTCATGGGATTCAGAAAGGCTTCTAGTGTTCCACCTTCTGACCAGGTATGTCATTATAAAAACAATCCAAGACCCTAGTTTTCTTTTTTGCTTTTTTAGATGGTAATACAAAGCTTTTTGCTGATTATTCATGTGATTACTTCTTTGCAACTGATATTAGTAATAGATTATTAATGATATCTGATATAAATGTTTATCATGTTGTGGTAGCACATGTTACAATGTTACTCCTCGTAGCCCCAATTAAGTTGCCAAGCATATAAGAAGTAACAACACTTGAAACCACAACTGTATAGATAATTACTTGTTATCTGCAATAATTTAAAAGCATCAGGGTTAACCATATTCTACCCATTGCTATAACTTGTTACTTCCCACAATGATTAGTGGGGGATAAAGGAACGAAAAAGTACAATACCTAATAGTGATGGCCACTAGCATCTGTGCAATCACCTTTTTAGTAAAGTGAACATATGAATCATTTGCATTCTGTGCATTTATCTAGGTCTCTATCTGTGTATGTCCAATGGGTTTTAAGTTGCCTACTTTTTTCTTTTCCCCCTAGATTACCTCTCCTATTTCAAACATATGCTAACTATTAAGCATATAGGGATCCTTTGGATTGGCCAGTTCAGTTGTTTTATCTGCCTCAGCTCCATGACCTACCTTGGTTTGGTTCATTGTACAAGTAAAACATGCCATTGAAGTTTCAAACCTCTAAAGGAACAAAGAAATGCCTAGAATAAAGGACTTCCTTTTGCCACATGACTGAGGCTGTTGGCTGAAACCTATGCTGCCCAGATATGGTAAGGAACAGGTAGATAATTTATCAAAAAAAAGGACACAGGTAGACAAGTTGCCAGATAAGAAATTTAGACGAAAATTTAAGTATTTGGAAAAATACGGCATCAATGTATATAAATATCTGATTATCATATAGAGATATCTTGCTTCATAAATATAGGTGATATGGCAAAGACGAGGAACCTGTCTGGTCACTGGGTAAGCTGCCTTATGGAAGTTGGAAGGTTCCTTTTTAGGCACTTGTTACTTTCTCAGAAGGAATTATATGCAGACTAACTCTAATAAGTAACTTCAATGCTACTATTAGAACCTCTTGGCTTAATTGAACATTCATTGTGTCATTTGACCTCTAAAAATTATTAATAAGACTCTCCTTGAGATCTTGAATTGTAATAGTGGGCATGGAATCCCATATCTGGTTTTGATGCATCACAATCCCATTCTTTAATCCTTTCCTTTAAACGCACACTTTCAATAACTATCTATGATAAACTCTTCTCAGAACTCAGAAGAAACATGAAACCAAATTGATTCTTCCAGTTGGATACCATACTCATTCTCAAGAACAGGAAACAAAAACCTTTCTTCCATATAGGTCATTTATGGGCAGTTTGCCAAACAAAATCATGCATATTACTGAACACTCCCTTAGTGGCCAGCATGTACTTGTATATATTCTTATTTCAAAACCAAATTGATGCTTCCAGTTAGCTACCATGCTCATTCTAAGAACAGGAAACAAAAACCTTGCTTCCACATCGGTGTTTGTCAAAGAAAACCATGAATGTTACTGAACAACCCCTTAGTGGCTAGCATTTACTTGCATTTAGTTTCATATATTCTTATTTCTATTGTTTATGTGATATGATGGGACTAAATAAGGTACATTTGTACATAAATGTGAAATGATTAAAAATGAATTTCTTAATTCAAGTGCAATGCCATTTTTTTTGTTAAAAAAAGATAGTCTCAGGTATATGTTTCTTTATATATTTATGTACATATTTGTTCCTCTTTTTTAGTCATCTATTCATATTTGTTTTAAGACTATTGATTATGCAATGGGACATATAATTTGTGGACATTGAATAATTTTTGCTTATATTTTATTAACAGGAAAATCAAACACCTAAATCAGGAAGTGGTGTCTCTGCAAATGGAGAGGTTAATAATATAAAGTTAAATATATTTATCAATTCATTTTTGTCCATTAAATGGTAATGCAGAATCAACTAGTTATTCATCGATCAACCAGGTTAATTCAGCAGATCCAGCAAGCACCTGGTCCAAGGTTGATAAATCAGGATACATAGCAAAAGATGTACCTGGAGCTAAATCTTCTCTTCCTAGTAAGAGGAAAAGCAGTACCCTTGGCTCAAAGAGCAAACGCCTGCGAATTGAAAATGAGGACTTAATAGAGCTCAAGCTAACATGGGAAGAAGCTCAAGGGCTGCTCTGCCCACCTCCTAACCATGCTCCTAGTATTGTGGTGATTGAAGGCCACGAGTTTGAAGAATATGAGGTATGCTAGTTTATGTTAGTAAGTACTTATGTGGAATTGTATGGCTATTGATTATTATCTTTTTATTTTTTTCATCATTTTTCTATGTCCCTTTCAAAGTCTCATTTTCATGTGATTAATTCATAGTTTTTTTTTTCATTTTAATATGATCAATGCGTTTATTGGTCATGGAAGAAGTTTAGAACATATTTGTACACTATAGTGAGGAAATCTCTTTCTTATTTCTAATATGATTGTTTGGCTTTTGTAGGAAGCACCAGTTCTTGGGAAGCCAACAATTTTAACAACCAATAATCAAGGGTAAGTTTTGTCCTTGTTCTAATCATGATTGGTTAACAAGGTTGTTTATTTGATAATTTTGATTTAAATTTGTCAATGTTGAGGTTAATTCTGATATTGTAAATTTCTCTATCTTTACCCTTGAGGTTCACAAATGAGATTAATGCTGATATTGTAAATTTACCTCAATAGCTCTAGACTCCACTATATTAATTTCATAGCTATTTTGATTTTGAAGGACTAAAAGGTAAGATTTTGTTATTATTACCTTTGAAGTAAAATTCTTACTTTTAGTTTCACCCACTTCATATGGGAAACTTGGTTTTATATACGAAAGTATCAGATTTGATAGAAACCTCAATATTTTGTTCAAATGGTAAATGCTATATCCATGGTTGAACACTTGAAAATTCAGTATTGATGGAAACATCAACCTAGGGAAACTGAATGTTTGGAGTTCATGGCCAATAAGGCCTTTGGGAGGCACGTTAATACCATTCCATATTTGCATGCACGTTTCCCTCTTAGGCAAGGAAAGGAACAATAAAACACCTTATCATATATTATATGGTATGGTCTATTTTATCTGTGCTCTAAAATACATAAAACATCATATATAATACGTATTAGTACATCACTCATTACTTGCTTGCTTGGATTTACCATGTTATTGACTTGCTACTTTTCTTATTTATTTGAACACGTTCTATGTGAATGGATATTGTACTTGCTTTGTTGAATGGAATTGATAATATTGTGTATTGCTTATTGAAATTATGTTTAAAAGTTATGGAATTAATTTCTCTTGGTATACAAATTTCGTTACTTTGGCTTTTTTTCAGCTTTCTTTCAATACACAGTAATAAGAAATTGAAAATGTGGCAGATGTCAACTAAATTATATCCAACAAATTCTTGGTCATATTTGTTAAATACCACCACCTAAAAGCTCATATGTGCTTAGATGACAAGGCAGACTGGATTGAAGCAAGTTGTATCCTGAAGGAAAGCTTTGGTTGAAGTGCTAAAATTGACAAACTTCTCCCTTTTTTTTTAATTTTTAGTATTTGAATGAATAACTAATCAGGAATACTTATGTATGTGATTTTAGCAACATTTTGGAGTTACAAGTGGTTTTTAGGATTCCCCATAAGTTTCATTATTACCTTCCTAAAAAGGGAAAAGTGATACATCACATAGTTTAGGGGTATTTTGAATTATGGCCAGATTGAAGTTTGTTTGCTCAAAATTTCAGATATACTTTCCGAGTTTCAAACTATTATTTGCCCTTGCATAAACCAGAAGACTTTACCTCCTTACTATGACTTCTTTGTTTCTTTTGTTTTGCCTACATCATAACAAGTTAATACATATGTTATCATAAGGAACAATTACTATTTTTTCTTCCATTTATAAAATTGCCATCTGTATCTTTTTTCCAACTGACTGCCAATGCTATGTTTCATCCATGTTAGTGAAAAGGTTCAATGGGCTCAGTGTGAAGACTGTTCTAAGTGGCGGAAGCTGCCTTTTGATGTGCTCCTTCCTTCGAGATGGACCTGTTCCAAGAATTTATGGGATCCAAAACGGTATACATTTGGAGCATGGGCTGTGTGACAATATGCTTTAGGGCTGATGTCTTGCTCATCTCGATAATTACTTAACAATAAATATGGTTTCTTTTCCATGTTAACTTTTCTTTATGAGGCATGTTATATTTTTTTTAAATGGTGGTCCATGGGTTCAAACTATTGTTACAATCATATCCCAATAGCTGCAGATTCAAGAGTTTAAACCCAAGGATTATTGTGGTCTTATGGCCTTTGATGAGAAAAAACAACACAAGAGTGAGAATTAGATAGGTCTTGTTTGTTTTCATATTCTCATGATCTATTATGTGCATAAACAAAGTTGTGGTCTGATGGATAGGGCACACGTGTTTTGACTCTAAAAGTCAAAGGAAATGGCGATTTGAACCGAGAGGAACACAGGGTAAGGGGAGATAATGGGCTGTACTTCGAAGGAGCTGCCTACATACCCTCTTTTGAGGGATTAGGCCATTGTAGTTCGCCAGCGATATAATTCTGACAAGGAATAGCAGAAGGTAATATTAGTGATTTCCGAGGGAGCCAAGCTGGAGCTAGGCGCGCACGCATGAGAGAGAGAGAGAGAGAGGATCTCCCAGAAGTGATTTATTGCCCCCACATTCGGGTACAAGCTCCTATTTATAGAGTTTTGGGCATACCTGAGTTTTGAATAGTTCTTTCACCTTTGTCCTTTTATTAAGTCTACAAACTTACGCTGTTTTGGGTTGATTTAGTTTGCTCCAAGTATTAGCGCTGACTTGGTCCAAATTGGTTTGGTCTAATCCAGGTTTTCCGTGGGTCAGCCAGGTTTATGCTACACACTTATATAAATCCATTGTCTCACATTAGCCCCCTTTAACAATGGTGAAAGCCATTTGGTAAGTTGGGTCAGGTATCTTAAAAATGGTTAAAAATGCCTGACCCAACTTTTGCTTAACAAATGGATTTCACCATTATTAAGTAGGGGGCTAATGTGAGACAATGGATTTATATAAGTGCATAGCATAAACCTGGCTGACCCATAGCGAACCTGGATTAGACCAAACCAATTTGGACCAAGTCAGCGCTAATCTTGGAGCAAACTAAATCAACCCAAAACAGCACAAGTTTCTAGACTAATAATAACAAAAGGACAAAGTCAGTGAAAGAACTTTACAGAACTCAAGTATGCCCAAAACTCTATTAATAGGAACTCGCACCCAAATGTGGGGGCGATTAATCAATCTTGGGAGATCCTCTCTCTCTCTCTCTCTCTCTCCGTGTGTTTCCTTTCTCTGATTCCATTCGAATCACCATATTTCCCACATAATTCCAGCTGCAAACTGCAGCGGCCTGATCTCTCACCAGAGGGTATGTAGGCATCTCCTTTGGGAGTCCAGCCGGTTTTCTCCCCTTATCCCCTATTCCTCGGTTCAGATCACTATTTCCTCAGACTTTTGGAGTCAGACCGCGTGTGCCCTATCCATTGGCCCACAAAAGTGATGATGCTTTGTTTTAAGTGGAAGTCTCTGGTGGCACATCTGACATAATTCAAGTTACACAAGATTTAAGCAACAGAAATATTCCTATTCATTGGTTCTTCATATTATATTTTTGGGATATCATCTCTAGTGGAGATAGAGGATGACGATGATATTGGGTTTACTCTCTGGCTGTGATCCTGTTTAAAGTTTAAACCAACCTTGTCCTTGACATTTTTATCTGTTCATGTGTGGGTGGGTGGGGGAGCAAATCTGTGCTACTTAAAGGTTGACATGCTTACTTCTGCTTTACCAGGTCTTCATGTACTTCAGCACAAGAGCTAAGTATAGAACAGCTTGAAGATATGATATCCTCTGCGAAAATTTGTAAGTAGTGGATATGATACATCTTAGTAGTTTATCCTTATTCTTCTACCTAATGGTTCATTTATGTGGCCCAACTTATTTGTGGGAGAAGGTGATTCCATTATGGATCTGTTAGATTTTAATACTTATCACTCCATGCAAATAATATTTTCTTATCCATGCCATTACATTACATCCTCAGATTGTCAAAATTTCCAATGTGCAATATTTGACAAATTGTTGCATCCTTTATTTGGCAGCTACTTCCAAGAGAACCAAGGCTGCCAAGCAGGTCAAGGATACTGTTGAAGCATCTGATGGGCTTGACACCCTAGCAAACCTTGCCATTATGGGAGAGGGTGAGGCTCTCCCCCCATCTGCCCAGCCCACTACCAAGCATCCTCGCCATCGTCCAGGGTGCACATGCATTGTCTGCATCCAGCCTCCAAGTGGCAAGGGCCCCAAGCACAAGCAGACATGCACATGCAATGTTTGTCTTACTGTCAAGCGCCGCTTCCGCACCCTTATGTTGCGGCGGGAGAAGCGACAATCAGAGAAGGAAGCAGAGACAGCTCGTAAGAAGCAGCAGCAGCTTCAGATGCCTGAGAAGACAACAGATCAGGAGGATGATCCACCAATTGGTAATGCAAGCAATGGCAGTCCAAACCAGAAAATAGCAGTGAATGAGATTGCTGATGAGGATCCTAACAGGAAGAAACCTTCCTCTTCACCTCTTAAAGGCCAGATTGATCTGAACATCCAGCCAGAAAGGGAGGATGAACCATCACCTGTGTCAGATTCTGGCAGCATGCTTAAGATGATTAGAGATGCCACTGAGATGTATCTCAGGAAGCAGAGGCTCCCAAGTTCCGCCAACAGAGATCTTGTTGTCAATCAGTTGGAGCCGGGTGGGAGTAGTACTGGAGGAGAGAAGCTTGATTGTGTTCAGCATGGTAGCAATCATCTAAAAGTTGATGTGGACCATCCCATCACTTTATCTATGTCCATATCTGCTCCCACATCAGCAACAGGCTAGACTTTCAGTATTGCATGTTATGTAACATTGAAGATCGGCACTATGGGGAATGGTTCCATGTAAATTCATTTAAATCAGCATCGGGCATTCCACTAAACCTATTACCCATCCCATAAGCAACGGCTTTCCTTGTACATAAAAAGAGGTATGAAGCATATTTAGTTTTTCCTGATATTCTTTAGATTGTACAGCAGGATAGAAGCTCTATTTTTTTTTCTGGATGCTGATCTTGCTGTCTTTTGAACTTGAGGGTACATCTTTTAGTGCCAGCGTTTGGACATTTCTTCAAACAAAAAATCAAAATGTTTGAGGTATTCCTGTTTCTTGGCCCTCGGCTGACTCTTTTATGGTAGGTTTGCTGATTTATGTGTGGAATCTCTCTCTCATCTTTCTTTCTGCAGAACATTTAGATTGCAATTACATCTTTTAATACCAAACATTGTTGCAGTTCAAACTAAAAATAAATTTTGAGACACCAATTTCTCTTCTTTACCGCTTGTAAACTCTTTTCGTTATGCTTATGGATAAGTTGAAAAATTAAGGGAAAGGTGTTTACCATCTTTTAGTAGTCAACTTGCAATTTTCAGGTCAATATAAAGCCGGATAAAACTTTAGTTGTGGAAGCAAGGATTAGGAATTGGTCAATTCAAACCCGTAGCTGCTACTAATGCACCATCCAGTTCATCAAACAGGGGTCTTGATTGCTACCTTCCCATCTCTACGGTCTATGTCAACCCTATACTGCCGTATCAGATTTTTCCCTGGGTAAGATTTGCGATCCAAAGTAATATTTTCTGAATTAAGCAAAGAAAAATAGAAAAAATGGAAACAATAAAAAAGGCTTATTCTGGACAGGAGGATGAATTTGATTGGTGCATTAAGGCTATGTTTGGTTTTAAATAAAATGAGAGGAACAGAAATGTATAGGACCTATAGGTAGAAGAGTAGATAAGATAATTTGAAGAGAGGATTCGTCATCTCTTGTTTGATTCCATACCAGCTAAACCTTGATCGGCAGCCGCTCTGCAACCAATGGTGTCCAAAATTGTAATCCCAATGTATTGCTACAGAAAAATAGCATGATATTGATATGATACTGGGAATTAGCAATCTGCATGCATGAGAACGCAGGTTCGAGCCTGAGTGGCCACTTTGTGTGGAAATAATTTATAATACCAAGAGTTGGGACTTAGGACCAAATCCAATCTCCCCGTAATTGCCAATCAATTTTTTAACGATGTTATCAGAGTTTTGATCAAGTTCTATAACATGCTTATACTAAATTCCCCAAAACTAAAAATGTTTTCTGGAAATGCAGGAATAGCAAGTTGTTTGAAAAAACCAACAGTGATCCGGTTATACATTATGGGCGGGGGCAGGCTGCGGATGTCAGAACACCTGATACCACCGTTTGATCGAGACGGATGGATGGAGCTTTTACTGAATCTAAACAATAAACATGCAGGGTATGGTTTTTCGTTAAAAGATGGTAAGGGGGAAACTTTTTTGATGGCAGCTGCCTACAAGGATGAGCCACGCTCGGCCTCGGCTGTGTTCTCTGAAGCATTTGCTTTTTATTGGCTTTGGGAGGGAGCAACTCGTTCTCTCCGGATAAAGAATATATAGTGATTAAAAACTTTAAAAGCGACTGTCCAATGTTGGTAAAATCTTTATGATTAAAGCGGAATAAGCTTACGCAGATGCAGATTTTCTTATTAAGTCGGTCTCTTTTGAACATCTTTAACAGGAATCTCAACAGTATGGGCTTATGGATTGGAACACCCCAGTTGGCCAGAGAACTAGTTCTGGCGTGTTATGAAGTGTGGCTCATCAGCTCGGTGGCCAGACAGATTGCTAACAAAGAACTACTCCAAATTCTTGGGCAAATAAGTCTTCTTCACCACACAAAAAGAAAATGCATATTAAAGAAACAAAATGATAACAGACCAGATAAACCCATATACCCATATGGATATGGCAAATCATCAAACTTCAGATACAGTTTTAAAAAGCTGAAGATCAGATACAAGCATTCAACAACAGATTTCAAACTTTTGTGATAATTTGCAACAAATGATCATTGATCAGCCTTCAAAATCACTAATTAGTCACCCTCTCATATTACACAACTTGTATCAAGATCAATGTATCCTGACCAGCCATACATAAAAGCTTCTTCCAAACAAATGCCAGGGTAATTATCATACAAACATTACAACCACAGTAAAATGAACCTCTTCATTTATCTACAAGCTTACCTGAATCATTCACAATTTCAGATGCTGCAAGGCAGCCATGAAAGAGTTATAAGATGACTCCAGGTCGAACTGTAGCTGCCTAGCCTGCTGTTCGGTCAGCTTGTCTGCAGCACCCATTTTCGATAGCATTTCCATCCACTCTTTCACCTTACCCTCAAGATCGGGCAATATGCTGAGCTTGCTGAGAGAGTTCGAGAGGTCAAAAAGAAGAGGGTACAGCTCATCAGCAGCAACCATGTTCAACCTCAAGGCGTCCAGTACCGTGACGAAATGCGCCGTACACTCAGCAACAGTTGCCGCAGATATGTTAGCCGATGCAGCCGCCGCTGTCCGGTGCTCAACAGTGGCAGGAACACCAGAGGTAACGAGGCGGTTAAGCGCTGCAGGGCATTTCAGCTTGTAAGTGCCCATGAATTGCTCGACGCTGGGGACAGTATCATCGAGGAAGGGAACCATAGTCTTGAAATGAGAAATCAGTTTCGAGCACTCGGACTCATACGCCGCTGGTGAGATGATGTCGCGAAGATAAGCCTTCTCGAGCCTCTCCGTGGCCTTGATTATGGCATAGAGATCGGCGAATCTGTCATACATCTCCCGGTCAAGAACATCATTGCCGTTCCACAGATTCACCGCCATTGGAGTAAACTCTGTTCTGAGTGCCTGAACAAATCACTTAATTCTTAAACTATTTTCTTTCTGATTTATTTTTCTTTGTTGTTGCTTAGACCCAATGGAGAAGAGCACGGGACACGCGCACAGGAGACTTTCTTCACTGAATAACAATCAAGAAAGCGAGACACAGTAAGAGACAACAGTACTAAATTTATCAAAGCAGCGGAACGATTGAAAGATTAAGCGGAAACGCCATAAGTTATTGAAGAACGATAACTAACAAGAACGATGAAAGTTTTATGGTGGATGAAGATGAAAAGAACAATCTGAAACTCCATAAAATTCTTCTCTTGGCGTTATTTGGATGGGCTGATAGATATCGGAAGCCATAAACAGATAATCACCGATTCAGAACAACAAGGGTCCGATTAAAATAAATTCAGAAAGGGAAAGAAACGAGGAGAGAAGAAAAAAAAAAAAAGAAAAAGAGAAAAACTTGTATTCAAGACGAATTTTAAACTTTAGACAGCGCCAAATCAAGCCCTGGTTTCTGAAGATCTTACTGAAATCCTAAAAAAGCTGAGATTTCAAGAAATTCAAAAGTTATAAATAAGATTCTAATAAAAGTTAAGAATTGAGAAAGTAAAATTAGAAAAAAACAAATTCTGGAGAAAGACAAAGGAGAGAAGGGTGAGAGCTTACGGAAACTCAATTGCAACAACGGAGTTGACGATTTGTGATGTGATCGCAGGAAGGGAAGACGGAAGCTGTGCAGATAGACAAGAGAGAGGTTGCGTGTGGAAATCGCCGAGGATGCTACCGCGTACGGTACACTACACCCTATGTATGATTAAAGAGTATCAAACACACCTTCCTGCTGCTGGTGTCAATGCAAATGTAACTGGGCTGCCCGCTGTACCTACCCGAACCGGTCCGGTTGGATCCTTTTCTCATCAGTTGGGCCAAATTTTACGGGCCTAGTGCCCGGTCATAGTTGTGAAGGATGGGCCGGAAATGGCAAGAGGGCGTGTTCGGGGAGGGTTTTGTGCATTTAAGACTACTCTACTTGCTTCCTTATACCTCTCAGCCCGTACCTTTTTCAAAACCCATAATAATTCATTTTTTATGGGTGTTTGGTTTGGTGCATTTCACAAGCGGGATGCAAGTTGATTAAGCATTTAAAGTGATTTGACTTAATATTATAATATATTTATAATGATAATTGTATGACATTTCCTATTTTTTCAAATTTTGATGTATCATGTTATTGAGGCAAGAAATGTCAATTTTGCATTTCAAGAAACCCTTTCTTTTCTAAATCCCAAAACTAATCATTACAAAAATGTTTTTTTTTTTTTAAAAAAACAGGATCGCCAAATATGATTTTCTTGTCAATCAAGACTCTACATGCACATGATGAACAATGCAGAACTGTTTCAACCCATTCTCCCCATATTTAAGGTTTAGGTAGGTAAGGTTGGCGGATTTGGTTAATAACCCATATCTAATTTTTTACTACATATAAATAATAAATAAATAAAATAATATGAATAAACATCAGAAGTTACAATTATTTAATAGAAAATATATAAAAATATCAATTGTATACCAACGGTTAATATATAATTTGTATACTTTCAAATTTGGACTACCAGGGTTTAATGGAAACCGGATCTACTCCTCACATCGACGCCTCACACGCATATCCTATTCATGGGAGATGTTCCCGATGCACGGTAGATGTGCCTGTGAGGCGCCCATTCGTGAGGAGCAGATCCCGTCACGGTTTAATGCGGCCCTAGAATCTAAATCCAGAAAGTGAGAAAACGGTTGGATTGAACCGGGACCAGACCGTTGACACTGAAAGTCTGAAACCAGTTTGTCCCGGGTTGGCGAGTTCCCGTCACGAGTATAGCGAAAACAAAAAATGGTGGGGTAGTGATTATGAGTGTTTCAGTAGATTCTAATCTGACGTCATATAACTGCTCCATCACGCAAGGTGGCTCCTCTTTGACTTTTACACATTACTTTCGTGAGAGGCAGGGGATAAAAGTGGAAAAAGAGAAAAAGAGGAAGAAAAAGATCTCCCGCGTGTTCGCTCCACTCTCGCTGCGATATCGTTTCATTCAGTGCCAGCAAAGCAAGAAGGGAAGAGAGCTCGGACGGAGTGAAGAAGAAAGGTACTCTTTTTTTTATTTTCTCGTTTCAGTTCTGTGACAAAAAGTATCATTATTATCCTGGACTCCTATCTTTTCTTTAAATAATCTGTTTCTGCCTCTCACCTTATCTGAATTTGGTGGAATTTCCAGTTGGAGATGTCTTTGATTCTTAGCCGGTGGGGCAGTGGTGTTGTGAATTCTTGCAGAATCTCCAGCTACAAACGCGACCAGAGAAATGGTCATGGTCAGTCAATTTATTTTTCCGGTGAAGGATGGGCGAGTAGTTTTCGATCTCTAGTTTGCATATGATATTATTTGAAAATTCCAAATTTGGTTGAAGTTCATGGCTAAGCGGTGGAAGCTGCACTTTAGAAGTTATTGTGAACTTGTAGCTTTTCCATGCTAATCATCAATTCCGTAATAATACCTCTTTATGGCATTGACTTAAGGTGGAACTTGGTTGAGTCAGTGAGTTTAGTTAAGTGAACTTTTAAATTTAAACTGTCATGCTAATAGTAAACTGGGAAAACTTAATACTTCAGTTCATAGATGGTTAAATTTAGATTGAGACGGGATACACGAACTGGGTTTTTTGAATTAAGTAGGTTGATAAATTAAACTGATTCAAGTGTAAGGTCAAGTTTTCTCTGCAGGTAGTAAAACTTATTGTCCAATTCAAGTGTAAGGTTAAGTTTTCTTTTGAGTACCGAGTTACATAATTGTAACTTCTTTTCAATTTCATTTATTCATTGATTGTAGAAACATTTGCAGTTTTATATCCTTATGCAAGTGTTTATCGTTTTGAAAGGAAAACATTTTATTTAGGGTTTTTGTTTTCAACTGAACTCTACAAAGCCTTGTCCAGACTATATTAGCTACATGAATCCTTTTAATTTTCTTTCTTTCAGGGCTGAGATATTTTTGCTTTATGTTGTATACATACGTTTATCTTTCATTTCTTTTCCCAATCTAACATTGGTAAAGATTCTCTGCTTTTACTTATGAAGGAAAATATAAGGTGTCTGTTAAAATGATCAAGAAATGTTCCACATCTAAGGATCTTACAGAAGATGTTCCAGCACCTTTGGAGACCAATAGAAGTAGTGGGCTACAAGTTAAGGGTTTGGTAAATGCCATTGCAGGTAGAGGATTTATGTTTTAAAACGCTGTTTCTCTTAGTGTTTTGTACTCTTGTTAATTCCTAAATTTGGATAAGTTGAAAGTGAACTCTTTTTAGTTTTATATAACATTACACAACAAAAAATGTATTTTCGTGTGCTTACTGTATTTGCAATTGAACTTTTTGTTGGACGATATCCCTATTGGCCGTTGCAATCCAATTGAGAGAACTGTTCAAAGCTGTTACTTTTATTCCTTACTATTAAGGTAGAGCTTAAATGTTCTCAAAGCAACTTGCACATGTCCCTGATGCCCCTATCTTGGTCAAGAATTTCTTCATGGTTGATGTACTGCTACACAACCACTACAATGCTCAACCTCCAAAAAATTAAAGAAGTGTATTTCCAAGTTCCCTGAATTTCTTTGTAATCTTTTGATACTATTTTGATCCAATTCTTTTTTTTCTAACCAAAACCTGCTGCATGTTACTTCTTTCTATGTAAAGAACTCAAATATAATGACTTGGGACTTAAGCGCCCAAAACCATAAATTGCACAGCATTAAGGACCAGGAATCAAAGGTCAACAAATTTGAAAATCTCCAGAATTTTGGAGGAGATCCAGTGTGTGTGTGTGTTGAAAAAAAAGCATATAAATTATTGCAGTTTTACTTTAAATTTAATTATATAAAGATTTCAGTCGCATGGAAATGGCTACTTAGTCATTTCCAAAGTACCACCAAAAGAAATTGACAAATTTTCATTTTTGGGTAGTGTCATTTGTATCCTTTCTAGCATTTTTTTTAACATAAACTCTTGTAAGGAAGTTGACAAAATTGCCCAAAATTGTTATGAATACATGAGATGACATATAATTTGAATAAAGAGTTAACAACAGGGTCTTGGAATTAGTAATCCATGCTAAATTGCAATTACTTTTACTTAGCAGGCCAGATTCAGTTAATTACAATTTAAATATTCTATGAATCATGATTTAGTATTCTGAGATTGTTATAGTTCATTCCCCTGTCAGAATATTGCGATTCATGATTTTGATCAAGATAGGCAACCCAATTGAATGGTTCTGGGCACAAAGCTTGGGACACTTCCACTGGTCTGTGGAAAAAGCCCCCCACCCTCAAATTTTGTGCACATGCTATATCTTGGACCTTATGTCTGTTTCTTTGGTTTCAGTGGCAAATTTGGTTGCAATAGATACGGCAAATGCTCTCTCGATGAACTTAATGGTCAGAGCTTGTTTTTTGCCTGTCATGTTTATATTCTGATAATTAATATATGACTATTGTGCTTAATTTTCTTGTTGTCATCATTTCTGTCATTGTTGTTATTAACATGTTATTACCATCATCATTATATTCTCCATCATCATCTTTTGCATCCTTCTATTGTAGAGTAAAAGCTTATAAGGAGATATCTAAGTATTCTTTCTCTAATCATAAATTTTCAAGGGAAGACTCTCTCTCAGTTTAGTTGATATCTTCTTGTTTTAGTTGCACTAATGTGATATCTAAGTGCTGTCTTTCTGTCCTTGGTGTGCCTTCAGATTGCTGAACATATGCCTTCAATTTTGTTACCATTTGTTCTTTAATTATATTACTTGAACAAAACAAATAGAACACTGCAGTGGACTGATGTAATTTAAGAAAAGAAACACAGGTTCAAAGAGAAGGAGAGAGAGAGAAAGAAAGAAGGGGTTCGGTTGTGTATTACTGCTGCCCCATTAGTTGTTATTTATAAATATTAATCTCTTTACAATAGTAGGAGTTACTCTAATACCCCTACTTAAACTCCAATACAAAATAAAAAAAGATAAACAAGGCCCAGCTGACCCAACTATAAAAGGAAATAAAAAACATAATAAATAAGTGTGGGGTTGGAACCACACACAGTACTAACTATCTCTACACTCCCCCTCAAGTTGGGAGTAGATGTTTGTCATTCCCAATTTGCATAAATTTGTCTCCAGCTTGCTCTTTGTGACTGCTTTAGTAGGGAGATCAGCTAACTGCATGTCTGAGGCAATGTAAGGAAGGCATATTTCTTGAGATGCAACTCGCTCTCGGATAAAATGTCTGTCCACCTCGATATGCTTTGTCCTGTCATGTTGTATTGGGTTGTGGGCAATATTAATTGCAGCTTGATTATCGCAATACAAAATCAGAGGCTTATCATAATCAATTTCCAACTCATTAAGCAAGGATTTCAGCCATAACACTTCTGCAACCCCATTGGCCATGGATCTGTATTCAGCTTCTGCACGAGAGCGGGCAACAACATTCTATTTCTTGCTTCTCCAGGAAACAAGATTTCCCCCCACAAATGCACAATACCCAGAGTTAGACCTCCTGTCATCAACACATCCAACCCAATCCACATTTGTATACACTTCTATCTTCATGTGACCACTATTCTTGAAGAGTATACCTCTCCCTGGGCATCTCTTCAAGTAGGCAAGAATCCTTTCCACTGCAAGGAGGTGAGTGGTCTAGGAGAATGCATGTATTGGCTAACAACACTAACAGCATATGAAATATCTGGCCGAGTTAGGCAGAGATAAAGAAGTTTCCCAACCAACATTTCATACATAGCCCTGTCCTCAAGGAGGTGGTTGGGAATAAGTCTCCTTCATGCTGTCCCAAATCTCCTTGGCTGTTTTTGCCCAAAGTTTCGGCTGATGTGGGGCTGCATGGAATTACATAGCCAAGTCATTACTAAATAATTCTCTTGAACCCATTTCGGATGTAAAGTATCTTTCTCTGCTGGTTTCTTTGTATCCCCCAGTCACATAGCCTAATTTACCTCTACCTCCAATAGCCATCATTGCTGATTGGGCCCACTCCAAGTAATTGGTTCCATCATATCTAACAGTGGTAATTTGAAAAGAGTTTTTAGTCATGTTACCAGTCCCAAAAAATCCTTCCCCTTGTGTTTTTAACTCACTTCCAAACTTCTCCATTCTTAAGAGAGCACTAATAAGCTAAAAAAACTCCAAGAAGAAGACCTAAAAGGATAGATTTTTTTCTGCAACACTAAAAAAATAGAGAAGACAACCCAGAATTTAATCTCAGCAAGAAAATTAAAACTCCAAGAACTTAAACTTAGCCGATAGGATAGATCCTTTCCAAGAGTGCAAACACAATCAAAAAGGTCAACTTCCTGGTAGACAAACCTGGACTGTAATCAGACGATAGATCCTTTCCAAGAATGCAAACACAGTCAAAAGGTCAACTCCCTCCCTGGTAGACAAACCTGGACTGTAATCAGTCCAATATTCACAGTCAAAAGGTTCAAGGTCAGATCTTTTCCAGGCGCACCCTCCAAGAAAGGCTCACAGTCAAAAAACAGTTCGTAGGGTTAAGAATAAACCCTAGAAAATTCAGATTTTCTCAGCCGCACCTTCTAGATAAATCTAACTTATTTCTTACTACTGCTGGCCTCAAGAAGAGATGAAAACTTACCCAGAAAACTCTGGTCGCCACTTTCAATCTTGATAAAAAACCAATCTTGATTTCTCTAACCTTCTCTGACTCTTCCTGATTACCAAAAAACACTCTCCAATCTTCGGACAACTGCTAAAGATCTCCGGTAACCTCCAAGAATCAGGCAAAGAAAGCTCCTTTCTAATCTTCCAGCCCTAGGTAATTCTCATGTGGTCGGCTGGGTTAGACTCACATGAGAAGCCCTAGATCGTGCTTTGATACCAACTTGAACAAAACAAGTAGAACACTGCAGTGGACTGATGTAATTTAAGAAAAGAAACACAGGTTCGAAGAGAAGAAGAGAGAGCGAGAAAGAAAGGAGAAGAGAGAAAGAAAGAAGGGGTTCGGTTGTGTATTACTGCCGCCCCATTAGTTGTTATTTATAAATATTAATCTCCTTACAATAGTAGGAGTTACTCTAATACCCCTACTTAAACTCCAACACAAAATAAAAGAAGATAAACAAGGCCCAGCCGGCCCAACTATAAAAGGAAATAAAAAACATAATAAATAAGTGTGGGGTTGGAACCACACACACTACTAACTATCTCTACAATTTTTTTCTATGGGTTGCAATTTCCTGTATCTTTTAGCTCTGTTCCATGTTTTAGGATGGTTTTCTTGATGCTTTTCCATGGATAAGGAGAATTGTCCTCTCACCTATGTACATATATCTTCCTTGAGATACTTGAGAATTGCAGGAAGCTTCTACAGGAATTGTGCCAGCTTCATATTCTTAATCCTACCATTCTCACTTCTTCTCATAGTCATAGCTAAAGACCACTATTGTAACTCAGTCAAGTATGCTATCAGCAATACTAATGTCTCTATAGGACTTTGCTTTTGGGTGTTTCTGGTCTCTAATTTCTAAACATAGGTGTTTCTTAAACTTAGTAATGCTCAATTTTATAAATGAAATCATATACCATTTCTTTTAATTGTGGACCTAAAATATTGACAATATACCGTTGTTCTTTTCCACATCTTTCTTTCATAAGCTATGTTACCTAGATATGGCAAGGATATGGCTGGACAAGGTGTTGGGTGTAGAAGTTTCACTAAATATTGAGGAATCGTCTTGAACAAATTATCCGGATATCATAGTTTGTGTGTGTGTTTGTGTGTGTGCAGATGCATGACTCAAGGGGTTCCACTACCTAGAGGCATGAGGTGTAGACCGTGTGGTCTTGAACACAAGAGGTGTAAGGAAGAGGAGGAAGAGGAAGGAGAAGAAGGAAAAGGAGGAAGGACAATGAAGAAGAAGGATCTCATCTTGTTATTCTTGTTTCTTTTTGATGAAAGATGTCTTGTATTAACCAAATTGAGCTGTATTAGAAAGGTGTTGGGGCAGGGGGTTTGGGAGGCAAATCCTGCTAATGAAGGGGTTCCACTCCCAGAACCCAAACTTTATTTCCCTTTTCTTTTCTTTTTTTTTTTCTTCACTTTCTTTCTTTTTCTACTTTCCCTTCCCTTCCCTTCTCTCTTTCCTTCCCTTTGCTTTCCTTTCAGTTGCAAAGTTTAGAGATGTTGAAGAGAGAAGAAAAGGAGGAGGAAGAGAAGAAAGAAGTGTCGAGAAGTGCTTGGTGTGGCATTGTTCACACCAAGAGGCTTTTCATTTCTTATTCATAAGCAGAATTACAAAGGTGCCCTTGAATAGGCGCCCAAATACAAAATAACACAAAAAGATAGAAATGCCCTCACACTTTTAACACCCCCCCTCAAGCTGAGCATAGATATTTATCATGCCCAGCTTGCTCAAATTGTTGTCGAGCTTTGATTTGGGAACACCTTTAGTAAGACAATCTGCCAACGGGTCTTCAGACCTCACATAAAGTAGACAAATCTCTCCACTGGCAACTCTCTCTAATGAAATGTCGATTAAACTCAATATGCTTTGTACGGTCATGTTGAACAGGGTTGTGGGCTATGTTTATGGCAGCTTGATTATCACAATATAATGTCATTGGAGTATCAATTTGCACTCCCATTTCTGTGAACAAGTTCTTCAATCACAACAATTCTGAAACTCCATGTGCCATAGCTCTGTACTATGCCTCTGCACTTTATCGAGCCACAACCGATTGCTTCTTACTTCTCTAAGATACAGCATTACCACCCACCAAAGTACAATAGCCAGAAGTAGACCGCCTATCATCAATAGAACCTGCCTAGTCAGCATCAAAATAGGCCTCTACCTTCAGATGCCCATGATTAGAATACAATATCCCCTTTCCTAGACATCCCTTCAAATAGGCAAGTATTCTATTCACTGCTTGCATATGAGATGATCTAGGCTTGTGCATATATTGGTTGGCCACACTCATAGCATATGATATATCTGGTCTAGTTAGACACAAGTAGAAAAAGCGGCCAACAAGTGTCTGATACACACCTTTGTCAGGAAGAACATCTCCATCATCAACTCCCAGCTTATGATTGGGATCAATTGGAGTTTCAACTGGTTTACAATCCAATTTTCCTACCTCCTAAAGCAAATCAAGGACATATTTCCTCTAAGAAATATAAATGCCCCTCTTTGACCTTGCTACCTCAATCCCTAGGAAATACCAGAGATTTCCGAGATCCTTAATTTCAAATTCAGTAGCAAGGAAAGACTTCAGTTCAGCAATCCAAGAGATATTATCCCCTATGATAACAATATCATCGACATATACTATCAACATAGTTATTTTTCCATTTGCTCTCCTAATAAACAGGGTATGGTCAACTTGTGATTGCGAGAAGCC